TCCAGGTCACGAGTCCTCTTGTAACGCTGGTAGAGTCCATCGCGCATCCTGCATCTCTCCGTCAAAGCCAGCGTGAACCATGGCGCAAGTGCTCATGAGCGAATGCGCGCAGCGGCCCGGCGCGCCGGCTTATATATCGCTGTGCAGATGGCACGCAACTTCGATGGTGGTGAGGACCACCGCTGCAAGGCGGCTGAGAACCAGCGCCGATCCGCAAAGCTCGGCGTGATCTGCAGTGCGCGTCTATAATAGTACGCGACTTGCGTATATAATGTTATGAGCTTATTTTATAAATACGTATAAACACGTTTATAGATTGTGTCAATTTGTTGTAATGGTGATTGCTATCACAAGACTTATCAGTGGTCCTAAGATTGGATCTTGGTAAAAGTAGCTACCTTTTAAAATCTTTCGGGGCCCGGAAATGGGGAAATGAGTTTTTATTTTGTGGATTTTACAAACCGTTTTCCCTTCTCCCCATGTCTTTGATAAGCTCTTTTCCTGTTCTTTAAGATTGGTGGTAAAGTCATCATATGAGACATAAACAAGCCGACTTACAGTCGTAGCCTTGATTCAGTTTTTTAGGCAAAAAAAAAATATAGTTCATTGACTTCAGTGTTCCAGACATACTTGTTATTGACTACGTCATGGAAGCGATTTTTTATTCACTTCCATAAACCATATTTTCTAACAAATTTGACTTTGGTACCGCCTTTACGGCAGTTTATTTCGAATCACAATAAAAAAATATAAAGTCAAAACGATTGAACCAATTTTTAGCTCGAAATTCCAGCGAGTTTTGAGTTTAAAAAACATATAATAAGTAATAGTGTCGCGTCGAGTATTCTAAAACAAACACTTTATAAACATTTATAAGCTTTTATAAAAGTTTATAAACGTTAGCACATTTTTATATGTCCATATTTCGACTATACGTTTCAGTTTATAAAAGTTCTATTAAGTTCACGGGAAAAAATTTTTTTTTAATTTTACGTACCTTTCTCTCAATTTTTGTGAAAATATAGTTGAGAATATTAAGTACATCACTTTACTAAAATTAGCATGAAACACCAAGTTGTTTTTTATAAGCTGTATAAATATGTTGTATTGATTCATTGTTGTATTCAAAAATTCTGTTCACAGCTATGGGATAATTCGATGAAAGAGGAGTAATAAGTCCATATTTTCTCTGCTGCGAAGAAAAATAAATTATCATATAGTTACTAGTAAAAACAAATCTTTTTTTGTAAATAAAGTTTTTATAAGTTTTATCTAAAAATCAAAGAATTTGATTGAAGCATACTTCAGTAGTTGTACCCACGAATGAAAAAAACATATTTTTTGCAGTAAAACGGACGTATCTTTGTGAATAATGCACTAATGAAAATGAAAAAAAAAAGATATTAAGATCTTTCGAAGGGTCTATCTTGGAAGAATATTCTCATCAACTGGAAGGGTACAAAATATGTGTACACTGTCTGAAGTTTAACCAAATGAACCAAATATCTTTTTTGGAACATATCTCGATCTTACCTACAAGTAACCAAGTTAAAAGGGAAGCTAGCTGCAAGTGAATCACATTCACACACAACTGCCTTCCATTTCTATTTTCACGTTTATGTTTAAGCTACAGTGAACAGATTTTGCAGTCTTTGCAAACATTTGATCATCGAAACCATGCTTAGAATTGTTTAAGTATATTTTAGAGCAGCTGCGTGCAAGACAAGCGTTAAAGACATATGGTCGATGTGAAGACTCTTGAATAATATTTAAACTGGCGTCCACGCTATTTGTCAGTGAATTGAAAAGGCTCTTATTTGGGATAGCAATGTCAAAAATTCTTCAAAGGTAAGAAAAGCGTCACTTATGTCCCAACTGTAGTAAAATTTTATACAATCTGCAGTCATCTACGGTACCTACATAAATTCGAAAATATCTTCAAAAAATATTGATATATATGGCCGATTTTAAGTGAAGTCGAATAGCCCAAAAAAAATTTTTCATTAAGTAAAAAAAATTTGTTGTTTCTGAAGTCAAAAATGTCCCCAAATTTTATTAGAATTTTAGCGACCGTTTAATTTTTTTTGAAAGCCCCAAAGTTGGTATTTTTCGAGTTATTCCGAAATAATATAATTATCGCAAATATAAAAATAGTTTTTAGTTTATTATAGAGCGACTCAAATGAAAAAGTGAATCAGGGCTTTTTTGTTAAAAATTTTTCAAATTTTCAGAAAAAATATATTCCAAGGTGGTATGAGCACTCTAAAGGCTTGCACAATAGAGATAGATAGATGGATAGATAGATAGATAGATAGATAGATATCAAGTATAATCCAAACTTCAAAATTCGTTGAAAAAGGGCGGCTTTTTGCAAATTTTTCAGAAAATAAACATAACAGCCTTTTTCAATATCCTTTTTAAGAATACTAATTTGAATGCACAAAAAATAGTTAAATACATCGTTACAGTACTACATAGCTTTTACACTAAGCATCGCGTAAGCATGTATTCCAAGTTTTCGCATAACTCGATTGAGATCTATGTGGTCTCATTTTATTCGATAAGCCATTGGCCATGGTCGCAACTAAAATCTTAGCATAAGATTAACTTCAACTACTTAAAATTATTATTTAATAGAATATTTTATTTAAAGTGATCCAAAGTGAATAAAATACTTATTTTGTACGTTGTAAGTTTGTAAAATAAGGGTTGTAGGTTAAGAGTACCACAATGGCATGAAAAGTTCAATAGCAGATAGATTCGATGATTGTTGCGTTTGAATTTTGTTTGTGTCCGTGTCACGGCAGGTTTTGTCTGTCGGGGGCACAGATCATGATCATCGGGTATGGCGATTAGCTTGATGAATTCGAATGAGCACACAGGCTCGTGCGTTCGGTGTTTGGCCACCCAATTTCGTGTACGCTGTCAGCGCGTTGCTATGATAATACGTCTTTTTTTTTGTTTATTTGCTAGGTACGGTTTTTTAGTGAGTTAGTTTTGTTGTTGTACACGGATCAGTTATAAGGTAATAAATTCAATAAATAAAATTACCTATCTTTTTATTTATTTCATATCAGTAATATTTTTTTTTCTATTTCTATCCCTCGTTTGGTTTCCGGAGTCAACGAAAACATTAGTGTCAAAAGTGAGATACTTCGAAAATTCGAAAGAGGAAATAATTCGTCACACCAAAAAGAAAAGCAGCTAGCTCGCGAGGAGCGCCAAAGGTTAAGCGAATTACATGGAGTAACCGTGGAAATTCTTCATCGGCTCCTAGCAGCGAGGAGCAGGGGGATTGACGGGGTCAATTCGGGCTCGCCAGCGTCTGCAAATAATCATCCTGAAGGAGTAGTTCCAGGATGTCTAGCATTGGGTGCTCCGAATGGCCAACATGCAGCTACCGCGGGTTCATCACAGACGCATAATCCCATGGCTCTTCAGGCGATATGTTCGCCTCCTGTGAATGCATTAGCAGAAGAAATTTTGAAATGGGCTCGATTCTTCGGGCTCTGCAGGGATGATGCATCTTCGTCACATCTAGTCAACGGAAATTATGCAGGTCTAGGGCAAGGCGTCATGCTGGCCAGTAGTGTGACAGCTCGTGGTCCTGTCCGTGAGACGTCGTTGCATGCAGAGCAGACGGCCCCCAAGGTACGCGCTTCGTCATTGCGGCGTTCCGTAAGCGGTTCAGTAAGCAATGGTGTCGAAATTCATGAAATTAACTCAGAATCTATGATCGGAGACGGCAGAGTCACTGATATGCATCAACGGTTGCGGTTTCTTTTGGATCAAGATTTTGAAAATCCATGCAAATTAACGAGTCCGTTAGTTAATCAGGTACCGCTAATTTTCAATAGCATTTACGCCGCCGTTGGTAGTAATAGAGAATTGATTGATGCTATAAATGTTCTTTAGATACGGTGCGTAACTTCTCGCGTAGTGCTGATACTTCTTCCGTTCGTAATCGGATGGAATTTTTAAAGAAATTACCTTTTTTCTCGGGTGAGCCTCGGGAATTTCCTATATTTAAGCGTGCCGTAAATTTATTATTCGAAATCGAGGATATTGGAGCGAGTGAGGTTACATTAGCTTTATATCAATCATTATCCGGCAAAGCAAGAGAAGCTGTGAAAGATTTGTTCATTGCCGGAGATAGTGCTTGACAAATTATGGAAACTTTGGAAGTTCGCTTCGGTAATACGCAAGTAGTAGACGGTGCACAGCTTGCTCTAAAGTAACCCAAGTAACCCCTTTTAGGCTATGCCATCTTGGATACTGACAAAATCGGGTTAGGACTAATTAATCCCTGAGTAGCCTTGAAAGGTTAGCTGTGCACTAGTAAGGCTGACACTCTCTGCATATGGCAGTGGCTCCGCTAATCCCACCTCTATCCTACCTCTACCCTACACTACAGTCCCGCATTCGCCCAGGCCCGAGAACCTGTGGAGCAAGGTAAAACCTACAGATGCATCAGTGGATTTTCACTGGAGGTATACCCGTGCCGGGGGAAACCCAACCCGAAACAGCAGAAGCTCATTATGTATTTTTTTGCCGAATGGCCTTGAACGGCGTTGTATAAGTGACTAGCATGTTTACCACTGATTTAATAACCATTCTCTGTTATTGTCTAATAACGATGTGTTTAGTTATGTCTTGAAAAGGCTGGGAGACACGCCAGCAAAACTTCAACAATAATGCCATGTTAATGCGTTTATATTATTGTCCTTTACTAACTTTTGACGAGGGTTAAGCTCCGCATAACTCTTTTATTTATTTAATTATTTATTTATTTTTTTACCAAAATCGAACTTTTGTTCTGTTTATATCCTATTATTTTTAAGAAAATGGAAAATCATAAAGTTGTCATGAACCTTACGTTTTAAGCAACAACATAACAACACAATCTAAACAAGTTACTTAAAAATATCGTACAACAATTTTCTGAAACTGGTTTTTATGTCAATGTTATGAAAAATTCAAATAATTTATTTTACTTGCAGATAATGGTCGATGTCTTGGTTGGAGAAATGGACCTAATGAACCCTATCAATGGTTGCACTATAATGAGACTCTTCTAAGGGCTAATAATTTCGGTTCTGGTCTTATTTCTCTTGGTCTCTCACCTCTTAATCACTCATTTGTTGGGATTCACAGTCGAAATTGTATAGAATGGATTTTAACAGAACAAGCTTGTTATTCATACTCTTTAGTGCTTGTTCCTTTAAATGACATGCTTGGAATAGAGGCTAGTGCGTTCATTATAAGCCAAGCTGAAATCAATATAATGGTGTGTGAGGACGATACTAAATGTAATGCCATATTAGAAAAAGCACCAAGGTTGGCAACAAATCATGCAATATTAGAGTAATAATCTTAAAATTATAATAATGCATAACATAAAGTATTAATTTATAATATAGATTAAAATATATTACTTTTCATTTCTTCTGTTGTACAATAACCATAAAATATTGCTTCTTATTCTTCAGTCTAAGATAACTTGATAATTATTATTTTTACTAACGTGCAATATTAATTATCTGTTTGATCAATAAAAGTTCATACAATATAATTTTTTTAAAACTTGACTCAATAAAAGTATACATTTTATGAATAAAAATATTCTTACCAAAAATGATCAACGCTGATCCTCATTAATCACTTGTATAATTTTACATGAGGAAGTGCTACTCTGTCCTCTCAGGATTCCCCAATGGAAATAAAATAAACTTAAGAGGAGTTCAACATCAATTTTTCCTCTAATATTATTTTTATGATATAAAGGGCAGTTTTGAGACAAACCACAGTTACAAAAATTTGAAAAAAATTATGCAGAATAGACATGTAAGTGTAAAAATAACTGATTTTTGCTATTTTAGCATTTTTCTCTATGCACAAGGTTCACACCATTTTTTAATTTAGAAACATCTCTAGCCACCAAATTTCTTGCGAAAAAAATCTTGCGCACACTGTCTTTTACTCACTCTTTACTTATTCTCACACCAATTTCAACTATTTTCACATGATTTCATTCACTACCTGCCGTTCTCATAGAGTGTAGGCAAACCCATAATCAGTTTTTTAGCGTAGTGGGAAAGTATCGAGCACAAATATTACAAATATTACAATTGCATTCGAGCTTTGATATTTAATATATTTTCTCATAAAACATTCTATAGTTAACTGGTATATCTATTACTATAGCTAATCCACTGGCATAATGATAGAATTTATCGCATATGGGTCAAAATAATACTTTCTTACAAAACCGTGAGCACGTATGTCCCCGATCTGGACGCACTTTTGGTATGTTATTGTAAAAAAGTCTAAAACAATAGAGCTATCCTAGCTTGCTTTTATTCTAACTAATGAAACACTTACTTTAAAAAAATTACTCGATAAACTACACATCTAGAGGTGGTTCAAAATTTTCTCTGAACAACAGTTATTACTAGACCTGAACTAAAATTATTACTAGAACTAAACCATACTGGCTCTAATTCTGGCAGTCATTTTAGCATGCGCAATGCACATATTAGGTAGATATTTTTTATCACTTGAATTTTCATATGGGCAATCAAGTATATCTTTTTTCTGCTACTGCTTCTTCTGCTGTAACAGTTCAACACTTCTATAAAAAGGCTATGGTTCTGTTTACATTTTGATTTTGATGCCAATATGGCGTGGAATAGTGAAGACACGCGGTATGTCCCGCCGAATTTTTTAAAGTAAGTTTGTCATATAAAAACGGATGTCAGAGTCTTGACGTGTTTAATTTGTGATAGTTTGTACTGTAAATCGGATTTTATAAAAAAAGTTAAAGCTGTAAAAGGTTTTTTCGTCACAAGACATAATTGTGTGCCCATCTCGACCGAGCATAACCCTAAATCAGCTACCAATTCGTAAACATGGTGAGGATACGGAAATTTTGATTTTGAAGAGAAAATACTACTTAATTCAACAGTGTTTGCAAAAATAAAGAACGGCCTTAATGTAACGAAATGTGAGGAAGCTGAAGACACGGAAGAAGACTTAAAAAACGACGATGATGATAGGGGTTCCATAGTATTATACGCTAGTGACGAGAGTAAGAAACGAAAAATTTATTCTAATGAGTGTGAAGACTATCAAGTGTACAGTGGTGACCTTGGTTTTGAAAAAAGAATGAATAAAGAGCTAATCAAATAAAACGATGAATTGAGAGAACATAATATATTTTTTAGATCTCTTGCCACTGATGCTAAAAAAACTGCAAGAAACAAAAGATAAACTTGATAAATCATATGCAAATATTGTAACCTGTCCACAGAAAGAGAATATTAAGAAGCGAGAATGTGCTCGAATTATAGTGAAGCTAAAAGCAAATTGGAAAGGTGATATACTTGGTATCGTGAAAGATCAAGTTGCAATAATAAAAGTGCGAAGATTTTGAGTGTTCAAAAAATGCATAGTGGTTCAGTCTTTATCAAGTGTGATACTACAAAAGATTCTAAGTTAATCGTAAATTCGTTAAATAATCAAAACAAAGAAGAGCTGCCTTCTAGAATATGTGAAAAAGATAGCCTCTTTATTAGAATATCAAATGTGTCGAGTGATGTTAGTAAAGTAGAACTTGCTGCTGTAATTATCAACCGAAATGAATTACCAGCTGACAGTGTGAATGTAGTATACAAACAGAAGAAAAGCTGTTTTGGAGCCCTAGCTGAAGTTACATGCGAATCATATACGCTGATAATGTATCAAAAATCTGTGTTTGTATATTCTGAGAATTATAGAGTATATGATAAGTATAATATAAGGAGATGTAAAAACTGCTGCGGTTATAATCATGGTATACAAAAGTGTAGATAAATAATGAAGAGGCAGCAATTATATGTAAAATGCACTGGAAATCATGATGCAGCAGCATGTACATCTGAAACTGTGAAATGTATCAACTGTGTGAATGCTAATAAATATCTCACCAGGAAAAGATCAACTGAACATTCGGTTGATGATAAGGCTCGCTGTGAGAGTTTTAAGGTGAAATGGGAGCAGTATATTAGTGATACGGACTACCCGTGGAAGCCTGATGCACCACATAACATTGGTGTTTGGTCTAAATAAATCTCTATCTTTGTTTTATAAATTCTTCTTTTAAAATACTTTGTATGGATATAGTCAGTTATAATTTAAATCAGGAAATAGTTTACAATCATGTACAGGAACTTAATAGCAATAGTGCTTTCTGTGACTTGGATGTTTTTGTGATACATACCAATATCAGAAGTGCAAGAAAAAATATTACCAATTTTGAAGCAGTATTGAATACTTTCAAAACTAAGCCAGATATCATTATTTTCTCGGAAGCATGGCTTACAGAATGTAACAATTTCACAAATCTCACAGGGTATATTGGTTTTGATAACGGTAGCAGAATAAATAAAGCGGATGATGTCAATATGTACATCAGGAATGGCCTATGCTATAATGTAATTAATGAACAGTATGGAGATTTAAAGCGTATAATTGCCGAGCTAACATTAACAGATAAAAGTAAAATCAAAATATTTGGTGTGTACAGATGTCATGCATATAATGCTGAATATTTCATCGGCGACTTAAATGTTTTTATTATGGGTAATAGAAATGTACTAAATCACATAGTGATGGGTGATGTAAACCTGGATGTAGTGAAGTTTGATGCAAATGTTGAGGAGTATTTCTATAACTATCTACAGAATGGGCATCAGTCTATGATGAATTCGTGTACGCATCCGAATAAGAAAGTAGATAAAGGCTCCTGTATTGATCATATTTTTGTGAAGAGGAAGCATACGGCATGTGCAGGTAAATTGTGCAGTGGTATTACGGATCATTATCCAATTGTAATATCCTTGAATTTAAACAATGCTCAATTAGCGGCCACAGATAAACGTAAAATTGCCTAAAAGAAATTTATGGCACTGTGTGCAGTTAAAAATTGGGATTAGATATATGAGTCGAACAATGATGAAGACGCTCTTGATATGCTAATCATGAAACTTAAGAATAAACACAATTCATCATTAAAATCAATACCCAGAATGCAAAAACCGAAAAACCCTGGATTACCCTTGCACTTGTCAACTCTATCAATATAAAAAACAAACTATATAAGCTATGGAAAAATGATCAAACGAATGAATTTAAAAAACAAAAATTTCTTAAAATATGAAAAGATGCTTAAAAAGCTAATAAGGCGCTGTATTGCTCATTTACATTTATTTTCTTAAATTCTTTTTGGTCTATCGAACAGAAAGTTCTATAGAAATGCACAGATGATAGTAATCAAAAACTTGTATTCAATAAGAAAATGTATGGAGAGCCATACTAATAAGCATTTTGTTATTAGTATATTACTGCCCTAGGCCGCGAAAAACAGAAAAGTCCCAGAGTATGTGTAATTAGTGGCCGAGGTGAAGCCGAGGCCGATAAGCACATACTCTGGGGCTTTCTTTTTTCGTGACGAAAGCCTGTATACTATTTTTCATACACAGTGGCCCGAAAATCGCTCTTCCCGCTTTGCGCAGCGGCAGGGAAGTAGTCACTTTCGGGCCGCTGGTATGAAATAGTATATTTCTCAACGGGTGCACATATGGTTTTTTAGCAAAACGAGGGATTATAGCACGAGCCGAAGGCGAGTGCTGTAACGAGTTTTGTTAAAAAACCATATCTGCACCAGTTTGAGATACTATTTTTTCCTACGAGAGCCTAAAATTAGCGGCAAAGTTGCGTATTTTAGGTTAGAGTGGGGAAAACATTTTTATTGTTCATTGTACAAGAATTCTTAACGGAATTCGACATTAACGAGTTCTGTGAAAAATTCTGTTAAGTTTTCTGCAGATTTTTTTCATACAACTGTACGTGAGATTAGAAACAAAGACTAATATAATGATGACAAATAAATATAAATTCAGAAGCTATAAAAATTGATTTTTTTTCTCCATTTCTCCTTCATGCGAAAGCCTGCAGGAGACTCTCTTCGACGCCCCCCCCCCCCTTAACTGTTTTGCACTTGCCCAATTCCAAAAACCTGTGAGACAAAGGAAACCTGAAGGTGCACCAGTGAGTATGATGCGAAGGTACATCACCCGACAGGAGAAAACCCGTCCCGAGATAGTCGGGGCTCATTGGGAACTTTTCCCATCGCTTGGCACTTGGAACAAACCAACTGAGCCATGGAATGTTTTAATTTTAGATTTTAATTTTATAAATAACTTATTATTTTAACTTTATAATTTTTAATTTCTCTTTACATCTAATCTACTTTTACTGGATGGCAAAAAAATATTCATTTTTTTCATGAATTTGAAACATTTCACTTTAATAATAATTTTTGATAACAGTTTCAGAATAATATTGATATTTCAGGTGTTTACAAAAAATAATAGTTATTCGTGAAACGACAAACATTACTAAACGTAAAGCAAAACGAAAAGGCATCGAATTAATTAAATTTTCAGATGTTGAACAGCTTGGTACGCGTGAAAATTACTCTGAAATACCTCCGAAACCTAATGATTTATGCACAGTTTGTTACACGCTAGGAACCACAGGTAATCCAAAAGGCGTGATGCTTACTCATAAGAATATCATTTCAAGCATTAGCGCAGTTTTACTTCAATTAGGTGAATACAAGCCATCAAGTAAAGATACAATGTTAAGCTTTTTGCCCTTAGCTCATATGTTAGAACGATGTAGCGTCAATGGAATGTTTATGGTCGGCGGATCAGTTGGTTTTTATGGTGGTAATATGAAACAACTATCAGAAGATATGAAAGCATTAAAGCCAACCATTTTAATTACTGTGCCAAGATTTCTTAATAGAATGTTTAACGAGGTAAGAATAAGATTTAAAATTTCTCTCATAAATCATAACATTGATTTTGCTTACAACAAAACCTCATAAAAAGCGTATGGGTCTACGACTTATCGTCCCCACGTCAACTCGAACGACAACTTGACATGCGACAATTCGCCCGCGGACAACTCGACCCCACGAAATCTCGACCAGTGACAACTCGATCCCACTACAAGTTGACACTTAAAAAAATATAAGTGCCAATTTTTGTTCGAGCCGAAGATAACATTAATAGCAACATTGTTCAAATACGATAATACGCGTTTTTTTTTTATAATCAGACACAACACTTAATAAACGACTGACTGACTCAATTTCTTCGTAAGTTCTTTTTCTAGTTAAGTTCTTTTTCTAGTGAATTTTTTATTTTTGCCGGAGTTGATGTCCCTAATTCTGTTCACCTCTATACTCTGTTCCATCTGAAGGTACTTTAAGAATTTCCACAAAATCTCGTGGCTTTTATGAATTTTGTGACTGAAATTACGATGCCACTCTTCAACTCCATTGTTTGTGCAAACATTGTCTGTCAAGACGGTATCGGCGTTATTCCACAAAACAGGCAGATACGTAGGTAAAGTTTTTTTTCAACTCGAAGGAGCCAATACCAGTAGTTTCAAAATAGGTAAGGAGGAGTTCCATTATTTTGAAATTATCTTTGTAGTATAGAGTGGTACACAATTTCTTATATGCATGCGCAACATCGTCAATACGTAAAAGTCGCAAAAGTCTCATCATGCTGGTATTGATATCCAGTTGCTTAAAAATTGCTTCGTACTTCCTTACTCAATGCGAGACTACTTACATTTAAAATGAGTGAAGTTTACCATACAGTTCTCATTTATTACTTGAGTAACTTTCAACATACAAGGTAAATGTACCAATAATCGGCCGCTTAAGGCGCTTAGTTGTTAATATTTTACACTATTCAGATGTAAAATTATAATTGCAATTTATTTACATCAATTGTACTAATTGTATTTTTCTCTAAAAATCATTTAAAATGTCTATTTGTTTTTACTAATAAATAAAGCCCAAGTTGGTGACGCAGCGATTGTACCAATTACTGACCATTGAGAAATTTGATGTCCTAATAATTGAACTCTCTATGTCCCATGAACTGGCCACGTGTTATAAGTAGATTTTAAACTCTATATCTTTATACAATTCTGCTCTAGGCTAACGCTAATTAAGGTTTATTAAATGAATTAAGGGCTAACAGAGGGCTTAATTATTTTTCATTTTTCAATTACAGTACTAGGCTGTAAAAGTGAAAAAAAAAGTTTTTTTCAAGAACAATCATGATAACCCTTTTCAATACCATATTTGAAAGTATTTTGTCCAGTTAGATACTTAGAAACAGTTAAATACTGTTAGAATTATAAGTATATAATGTTTTTGTATTTTCGGAGCCTGTACCACTATCGACTGCGCTCCGAACAGTGCTGCGCACGAGTGTGGTGGGGAGAACAGCTGTGCTGCTCTCTTTCACTCCGAGCCCACACGACTACGTCACATTGACTCCTTTTCTCTTTCCTTTTTGTTAATTTAATAAACCTACTACAAATACAAACCTGCATTTGATTTTCACTCTGCTAACAGGTTATGGGCCTTTCGTTTTAGTGAAGTTTGCTTTTATCAGTGCTTTGGTTTTGTTTTATTTGTGAAGTTTTTGGAACGTATTAACGAAGTGCAAGACTTTTATCAAGATGGCTGACGTCTCAGACCTGAAAAATATCCCAAAAATCAACGGACAAAATTTCCAGCTCTGGAAATTCCAGATCAAAGACGTTCTCGTTGCACACGATCTTTTGGAGATCGTAGAGGGAACCGAGACGAAGCCTGCACCCGGAGCAGACAATGCCAATGCTACCAAAGTCAAAGAGTGGACAAAAAAAGACGCGAAAGTGATGTTAGCATTATCGTCGTCCATAGATTACAGCCAACTAACTATCTAGTGAATTGTGCATCAGCTAACAAAATGTGGAAGAAGCTCTCCAATATCCACGAGCAGAAGAGCACATCTAACAAGTTGGCATTGACAACAAAGTTTCACGAGTATCGTAAGTCACCGAACGACTCTATTGCTCAACACGTGGCAAAATCGAAAATATTGCTAGCCAGATAAAGGATATCGGACAAACAGTATCAGACGTCATGATAATGGCGAAAATCATCAGTACTTTGCCGAGCAAATACAACGCCTTCATATCTGCATGGTACAGTGTGCCAGACACAGACCAAACGATAGACAAGCTACGAGAGAGGCTACTACGCGAAGAAACTCGAATGTCTGCTGACGACGACATTCCCAGGGCATTTGCAGCGACAACCATCGACACGAAGAACAACGGTCGTAAGCAGCCAGGTAATAAAAAGAAAAGTTTAGTCTGTAATTATTGCAAAAAACCGGGGCATATCGCGAGATATTGTTACTCCAAGAAACGCGCGAATAAATCACAGAAAAAGGAGAATGAATTGGTTCTCCGAATTTTTACCGATTCGAGACGACCGTGTTTACATGGGAAACGGAGCAGGGCTCACAGTAGCCGGAGAAGGCAATGTTTTGATTAAGCGATCAGTGAACCGCAAATGGTTAGATGGAATAATTCGCGATGTGCTGTATGTACCTTCGATGAATATACTGTAGCTACTTGTGTGTACAATTTTCTAGAATTTAGTATTCATTTTTTATCATTTTCCATAAATTAATTTTACTTTGCTATATGTACCAGTAGCTACAGTTCATTTTATGGCTAGCTTTTGGTTGCGACCATGGCTATCGAACAAAATGAAACCACATGGGCTACCATAGATTAATGCTTGCTCTTGGATTTCCACGACAGGTAGCTTAGATATGTGTAAAGGTTGCGTTGAGGGTCAACTCACTTACTATTAATGTACTTAACTGTTTCTAAGAATCTAACTGGACAAAATACTTTCAAATATGGTATTGAAAAGGGTTATCATGATTGTTCTTGAAAAAAACTTTTTTTTTCACTTTTACAGACTAGTACTGTAATTGAAAAATGAAAAATGATTAAGCCCCCTGTTAGCTCTTAATAATTAATATTTTTACTGAAGTTTAAACTTAATTCTTAACTCTCAACTCCTGCATTTCAATTAGGGATGTGCAAGTACCTGTCATATCGAGTTTCATTCGACTTGAGTGCAACGAGACGACGGAAAAAACTCGAGTATTTTCGAATGCTCTAGTTTTTATAAGTACTCAAGTTTTTTGAGTAATCAACATTTTGCAAGTTTCAGCTGATTTATTGATATGAATACATTTTTCGAAAGATTAATAAATACCATCAAACCCCGTCATCCGCGTGGGTTCAGTTCCAAAAAAGTAGCACGTATACCGAAACCGCGAATACCGAAGCATTGTTCTTATGAGAAAAGGGGGTTCGCTTCTTCGTCCAGCTGAAATGTCAATGTACGAAAGAGTAAACAACTTTTTTTTTGAAAAATGAAAGTATTTATTCATTTTCAAGTAAAATACTCAGTCAAACTTTTTTGCTTCGCTCTGTGCATCAAATCTTTGTATACATTTTCATAAAACTTCAATGATTTTGTTATATCTTGCTTGAATTGAAGGCTGAGAGTCATTATTGGATCATGAATTATGGCTCGTTCAATGAGTTCTGATCGAATAATCGTTATGGTCGAATCTTCTTGCTAGGGTGGCAACTTTTTTACCAACTGCCAATGCATCGAGAATTTTGATATTTTCGACCAAATTGACACTGACAGTATTACATGTTCATAACAATTAATTGTATTGTAGATTAAACGATAATCAGCGCCCTCTGTATGCTGTATGAAAATTGTTTTAGTCGAGTTTCGGGCCGCTTGAAGGTTCTTATGGGACGGCCGCATTGAATTTACAGAGGGCGCTACAAGAATGAAAAAATCATCAGCGATAATTCACAGAAAAGGCTTACGTTCCCTTGACATGATGCATGAGACATAATCTCCGCAACAAAACCTCCGACACACAATAACCCAAAATAACCCAGTAAAGTAATAAAGTAATACATTTATAGATACCTAAAAAACAGAAAAAATTTAAAAATGTGGCGGGGATTTTGTCCCGCTCCCATATCATCAACATTATTGGAAATCCTTTGATCAGTACTACAAATTTGAAAAATCCATCTCCAATATAATTCATTTTCATGTTTTTTAATTTATCAATCAATTCATATACACCTTGAAATCTAAATTTTTTTTATTGAATTTTTGATTAGGATTTTTGCTCCACCTTTCATCGCATTTTTCGAAACTCTAAAATTTTAATTTGACTTATAAATTGATATGCTACGGATCCATAATGGATTTTTGCATTCAAAATGAAGCAAAAAACTTGGAAAATTTCAATATTTGTTGAAACTTGATTGATCCATTATTTTACAACTATTAATCATTTCAGGTTTTAATAGTCGTGTGTCCCTGCCTTTTTTTATCTCCATTTTTTATTATTTACCGTCTGTTTACAAAATCAACAATAAGTAAATATAATTAGCATTTGTTAGTTGGTGATTTTTGATGTTTTTTCTGTTTTTCATTTCTCAGATGATGCTTTTAAATTTTTTGAACATAGACGAGTGTATAGAAGGATACTTACTCGCGCGCAGAGCCAAAAAGGTATCTAACTCGAGCGTAGAAGCAAAAAGGTAGCTTATTTAAACGCAGTGGCAAGAAAGTTTTTGCTCGTTGAATTGAGGTTGGTAATGCAGCCGTAAATGATGACATTTTGTTTCAACATTCAACATTCAACATTTAATTCAAAGTTATGTAAAGCCAATAACTTCTACTTCCCTCTCAAAACATACAAAGTTCTCCATAAGTGGCAAATTCAGTCGAAATCGCGGTGAGATTGATTTTTTTACTCCCATTACAAATGAATGAAAATCATTACACTATCTCACTTATTTTTCTCTTTTTTGCTCTAATACAAAACAAAATTTCATCATTTATGGCTCCGTTGCCAACCTAAATTCATCGAGCAAAAACTTTCTTGACCCTTAGTTTGAATAAGCTACCTTTTTGCTTCTGCGCTCGAGTAAGTATCCTTTTTGCTACAGATTTGAAATAGATACCTTCCTGCCCTGGGGCAACGATATACGGTGTCTCCAATTTAATCCTCTGTCAAGGTGTATTCCAAGATATTTTGTGTTATTATTTTGAAATATTACATGGTTATTGAGGAAGACAGCTGGGCAGATCTTTCTTTTTCTGGTGAAAGTTACTTGGACTAATTTGCTCTCGTTGACGGTTATCCTCCACGTATTCAACCATTTTTCAAGGGTCGAGAGGTATATTTGCATATTTAGGAAGGCAAGAACTGGATTTGTGTGGCATGTCATGACCGCTGTATCGTTAGCAAAGGTTGATACAACTGTACTTGTAGAGGTACAAGGGGAGGTCCCCTTAATGTAGAAAAAAATCAGCAAATTAATGTAATGAAGAACTCTAGTCTATTGCAATTACTTTAGCCACTATTGCTATATTTTTTTCTCTCTATAACTCCTTTTATAGGAGAGACTTACGACCCCCCCCCCACCTCCCACTGACTTTATTTTGCCCAGGTCCGAAGACCTGTGGGGCAAGAGAGGTGTATCAGTGGATACGTACTGCAGGTACACCCATGCCTATGAGACAGCCTGGGCTCATTGGGTTCTTTTTTCACCAAATGGCACTTGGAAAAATCGGGTTCCCTCGCCGAGAATTTAACACTCGGCCCCTTGGACGGACTGGACTCATGCGCTCTAACATATGTATCTATAAACAAAACGATTATTCCATTGTACTTATTACTTACATATTAACAATACGCAATCAATTATTTAACTTAATATATTTCAAATATATACATTTTTTCTAGGTTCGATTACAGTTGAATAATTCTCTTTTAAAGCGTACGATTTACAATTTGGCCTTAAGAGCAAAAGAAAATGACTTAAAAAAATGCATAATAAGGAAAAATTCTTTGTGGGATTGGCTTATTTTTAAAAAAATACAAAAAAATATCGGCAATAATTTACGTTTAATGCTTGTTGGATCAGCTCCTTTAGCAGGAAACATTCTCACTTTTGCTAGATGTGCTCTGGGATGTTTGATTGTAGAGGGATATGGGCAAACTGAATGCTCTTCTCCTATAACATTAACTGTACAAGTAAGTTAAATTAAATTTTTTACTTTCTTTTCTACTTCAAAATGAAAAAAATACGTACAAATATTTATCAAAAATTTTACCTACTTTACAATTATGTCAATTAGTTATTCTTTCAATATCTTTGTTTTTTATTGTGGAAGGACAAAAACAATAAAACCTTGTTGTACAATGTTACGTTATCGTAGATGAAAAGTCCTGAGAAGGACGGATGCCAAGCTAGGCTGATGGTCAGAATGATCAAAGGATGACCGTTCGCTGACCCACGTTCTGATGACGAGGATCTTAGAAAGAGACTACGTTAAAAGACTTTTGTGTGGCCTTGAAAAGGACCGATTGTCTTTTGTAGTCGCCTAGAAGCGCCTTCTCCGCTCTCTTCTCAGCTCTGCTTCTCTTCTAGCCGAGGGCCTCCTGGAGGGTGAGGAACGAGAGTTGCGAGGAGAGCGTGGCTCAGCTTTTAGCTTAGGAGCACGTTTAGCCGGGCAGAGCGAGATAGCTGGCCTTGGTAGTTTGTGTAGTTGCGGATGAGAGGCAACGTATTCGTCAAGAGCGTTGGCGGATCGTGACGTTCTGTCCTGAGTCGTCTTCTTCGCTACCGACACTTCCCACAGTGGCGGTCGGACCGGTGGTACCGTGACCCTGGTCAGTTGGTGTTGTCGCTGGCACGTTTGCTCGTCAGACGACCGTGGCCCAATGACCGTCGGGAGAGTGCGGTTAGCAGATGCTGTGGATTGAAGTGGCGCGGCCGTGAGATCGACCACTGGCTCAGGGTTGACTTCTCTTCTCGCTACAGTCCTCTTCCACACATGTGGGCAAGGCACTGGCAGAGGGGGATAAGGCCACGTGCGCAGCAATGCGCACGAGCGGCTGGTGTAGGTGGTCCCGGGCAATGAAATCAGACTACAGATGTTCTTGACTTCTTCAATGGCTCGTTGATGAGTCTTGACGATATTTTCGCCGGCCGGCACAGCCCGTACAACGCAGCGTTGTTCCAAGAGGCCTGACACAAGAGGGTGGCCTCGTTGTAGAACTACGGCCCTTCCTCTCTTTTTTCTTTGGATTGGCGCCGTGATCGATTTCCCTCTTCGGGTCGAGACAATCGGAGGCAACAAAAAGACTCGAGTACGAGTCCAACTACTTTTCTGTTTTGACTTTTTGCAAAGTCAAACAGTCAAAAGTAGCCTGACAACTGTTTACTCACTTTTCTGTTTCCACTCGTACAAGTTGAACAGTCAAAAGTTAAGAAGACAAAAGTCCAATCACTTTTCTATTCTCACTTGCAACAAGTCGAACAGTCAAAAGCTGATTGAATAAGGTCGAAAGGCACTTATACTAGTACTCTAAACTCGACCTTTTCTCATGCGGATACGACTTTTTTCTGGCGCCGCGCTACCTGGCGGCCGAGTCGGAAACTTGCAAAAGTAAAAAGTGGGGAAAGGTTGTGAAATGACAAGGTGAATATGTTTTTGCAAATTAGACCAAGTTCACTATTGAATGAAGTCCCTAGGTCGCAACTCTCAAGAGCTCGTCGTCGCGAACGCGAGGACGAGAGTCGATGTGTTCTGGCTGGCAGCCGAGAGACGACTTCACTTTGCGTGGCCGGGCACCTCGCTTATATAGGAAGTGAGTGCGCGCTGATTGGCCATCGGCGCAAAGGTGGGGACGAGTGCTGCTGTGTACGTCGCCAGAGTGGGGACGCGCACAGCCGTGCACGTCGCTCGAGTGGGGACGCACGCAGTGGTGTGGCAATGCGTACGAGGGTAACAACCTTTTCTAGAAAAAAGTCGTATATCAGAATTCAGAATATAATATTACGTTCCGAACTCGCTTTTATCATCGGGTCATACTCGTAGTCCTCAATCTAAATTCTATAGAGTGCTCGTCGGACACGCCGAGTCCAAACACAGCTGTACCTTACTTTCAGCAAGCCAGTTTGCACCGAAAATAGCCAGCTAGTAGCAGACAACACATCGCCCCTCAAGTGACCGTGAGCTAGAGGTTGCCCCCTTCAACAGTCAATTCTTGAAGCCGTCAGCGAGCTAGAAAGACAAGTCTTCTTCTACCGACAACTTCTCGAGCTTCGCAGCGAGCTAGAAGACAAAAGTATAATAAAACCGTTACGTCTTTTTTGGGTATACGTCAATAAGAATAAAACGGCGATAAAGACGGTGCCAAAGTCAAATTTTATTAAAAAATAGGCGGTTCAACTGACAGTTCTAACAATATAACTTTTTTCAAACGCATAAAAGCAACATATGGTATGAAGACACTGAGATGTCTCAAAAATTGGCAAAAGTGGAGATCTGACTTGGCCAAGACTAACGCGAAAAAGTGGTTTTCAGCTTACTAGCCCGTTTGAGGCGTATTTCGTACTGAGCGTCCTCAATGGGTAATGCCGTCGATTTCAGTCGAGCAGCGCGGCGCCACTGTCCTCGCACTATAATCATGCCTCCTGGCGCTATAATAATGATTACAGTGCGAGGAGGTGAGTATAGCGAGCGCTTGTTTTTTATATGTCGTACGTATAACGTAGCACAGCGGTGCGTATAGCGGGTTGCCACGCTCACTCACTGTCCCTCACTCGCTTCTGCGCAGATCCGACTTAACCAAATTTTTTATATATTTACGTATACCGCACGATGGATTTAAACTCAAACATTGGGCATAATGCCGACGAAAGTGGGTCCAGCAGTAGTGAAGACGAAGATTACGAATCGTATATACAAGAACTAGTCGACAAAGCTCGTTCGAATTTAATACCCGAGCAGTCGAAACATTTGTATGAAGCGCAGTACAAGAAGTTTCAAGAGTGGCGAGCAAAGATGAAGCTAAGAGAAAATTTGAAACAAGAATATCTGTTGGCATACTTTGAAGAATTATCTCGAACGTATGTAGCAACAACTTTGTGGGCAACGTATAGCAAATTAAAAGCTATGATAAATCTGAAGGAAAATGAAGACATCAGCAAGTATCTCGAACTTCAATGTTTTCTAAAAAGAAAAGCAAAAGAGCATATCCCAAAAAAGGCTTTGGTATTTGAGACAGAGGACATTAACAGATTTCTTTCAGATGCACCTGACGAGAAATTTTTGCTCCACAAAGTAAGTGATTTTTATACTTTTGTCTATAGCACTACTTTTTTGTTATACTAATGAACAATATTATCTATAGGTTGTGTTGGTCATTGGATTACATGGGTGCCTACGCACTATTGAACTGTTAAGGATGAAATTGACTGACATCACAAAACACGGTGGCGTATATCTAATCCAAATCCCAAATACCAAAACAAAGGTTCCCAAGAGTTTTATGACCAGCCCAGAGGTGCATGAAATCATCAATAAATATATGAAACTGCGTCCGCATGGTATGGAAAGATTTTTCGTTCAGTACAGAAATGAAAAGCCTACACGACAGGTAAGATCTGTTAGAATAACAATTTTCAACTAATGCACTAAAAACAACCTGTTGATTTATACCTTATATTTTTTCAGAATGTTGGCAAACGCAAACTCTCAGATATACCGAAAGATATTGCAAGGTTCTTGAAATTGGAAAATCCTGAAAGGTATACGGGTCATGCTTTGCGAAGATCTTCAGCCACGATAGCAGCAGATCTAGGAGCTGATTTAATTACGCTGAAGAGACTGGGGAAATGGAAGAGTTCAACTGTGGCTGAGGGATACATCGATGATTCAAAACTCTGTAAGAAAAATAATAGCAAATTGATAGCATCTGCTTTAGACATCAAAAAGCCATGTACAGCTGTTGCAAGTGGAGATTGCATGAACAAACATGACAGAAATCAACCAAGCACTTCTTCACGTAAACTTCCTGGTGAAATACTTCCTGGTGAAATGCTTTCAGACGATATTGAAGAAATTTGTTCTATTTCCCAAATGGAGTATAATGAAGTTCTAGAAACTCAATTTCATACAGAAGATGATACAGTTCAGCAACCAAAAAAGAATGCGAAGCCACTACGTAAACCTCTGTTGCCACAAAATAATAATATAGTAATTTCACAGCATAAATTGAGTGATAAAGAGCTAAAAGATTGTCAATTAACATTAGATGATTATCATGATTTTGTCATGCAGGAGTTTGAAGTGTCAGAGCATGCTAACGGCATAAAACAATTTAATCCTAACTCGAGTGATAAATCAAATGCTCAATACAATAATAGGAATGGGTTTAATAAACAATGTTCATATAGAATATAAGTATTGAGAGTTCAAATGCACTTTAATAAATTGTTATTGAAATACTGATAATCACTAAAAATCATTTTTAAATTACAACCTCATTAACTTCATCTGACAGCTAGAAAAAAATCATATACATAAAGCTCGCCTTTGGCTCGCGAGAAACACTTACAATACTACTACAGCTCGCCTTCGGCTCGCGACGAGACACATATAATGCTAATACAGCTCGCCTCCGGCTCGCGATCCTCTCTTGCAACATAACATCTTCATCGACGTTATTGTTAACTGCTTGTGACTGAGCTTCAGCATTAATTGAATCTTTTTAAGTATTGCTCCTCAAAACGGGCAAGTAATCAGAAAAATGCTGCGCGGCCTCGGTGACTACTGTGCCCCAACGCTGCAAACACACCTCGGCTGTAATCATCCCGTTTCAGCCCTTGATGTGTAAATAACTATTTTGAGTGCGTGTAGACTTCACCGACTGGTACCACCACATTTAAAAAATCAGTTCAAGAACAGTATATACTTCTACAGCAATGTATGTGAGACAAAGAGTCAATCAGTTCTAGACACGCTGAACAGAAAATGGCTCAACTTACTGATTGACGATATCCACATAAAACGTGAAGAACTGTACAGACTGCTCAACAGACTTCGTCGACGGATTGACCATCTCGGCCTCCCTACGGAGACCCTGTGTAATTTTTTTAGTTCGACGAACACAAAGTGTGACTTCATTTACAGCAATGAACTACAGAGCGTAAAAAAGAAATTTGAAAAACTAAGTGCTTCTAA